GGATTTGGGCTTTCACTATCATCTGTCCCATAGCCTTCTGAAAATGGGGTGCTCAGAATTTAAGCTCTACACTTACTGCCTCACTCTCACTCACTCACTGCCTCACTCTCTCACTGTCTCACTCTCACTCTCTCACTGCCTCACTCTCTCACTGTCTCACTCTCACTCTCTCACTGCCTCACTCTCTCACTGTCTCACTGTCACTCTCTCACTGCCTCACTCTCTCACTGTCTCACTGTCACTCTCTCACTGCGTCACTCTCTCACTGTCTCACTCTCTCACTGCCTCACTCTCTCACTGTCTCATTCTCACTCTCTCACTGTCTCACTCACAAAATAAAAGAAAAAAAAAGAATTTAAGCTCTAATACAGATTCTAATACCATGCAGCAATTGAAGACCCCTCCATCCTTGCTTTGAGTTCCAGAAAACAGTTTACTGCATACATCCACTGTGTGACTTAATTCACTCTGTATATGTTGTAGCATATTTAAGTTTTATTTCTCTTATGGATGAATAAAAGAGCCCTACACGTGTAGTAGGCTACACACTGAGCCAGTTGTTCTGAGCTCAAGGCCAGTTGTTGGAACCCTTTAACTGCTCTGTAGGAGAAAGCTGAGGGATGTAAAGATATAAAGTCCCAGAAACCCAAAGGGGCAGTTCTCTGTCCTTATAGGGTTGACAACTTGATGGCAGTGAGTTTGGTTTTTTATTTTATGGGTGAATCACATTTTAGTATACACATCTACCACGTTTTATTTATGCATTATTCTGCTGATGGGCAGCTGGCTGGTTTCCATCCTTTGGCTATTGTGAATAACACTGCAGTGAACCTTGGGCTCCACTCTCTGAGTTAGATAGCAACCAACCAACCAACCAACCAACAAACAAAAACCAATCTCAATGTCACCAACTGATGTCCACTCATAGTACCCCTGTGGGGCAGTAACTGTCCTGTGAGTTTCAGACAATATAACTGTTTTTTGGGTTTTTAAAAAAAAATGATTTTATTAGGGGCTCATACAACTCTTATCACAATCCATACACCCATCAATTGTGTAAAGCACATTTGTACGTCATTCTCAAAACATTTTCTCTCCACTTAAACCCCCCAACATTAGGTTCTCATTTTTCCCCTCCCTCCCCGCTCCCCTCTCCCTCATGAGCCCTTGATAGTTTATAAATTGTTATTTTGTCATATCTTGCCCTGTCCGACGTCTCCCTTCACCC